GTCTCAAACTCCTGGGCTCAAGCAATCCTCCTGCCTCAGCCTCCCAAAGTGCTGGGATTGCAGGCATGAGCCACCACATCTGGCAGAAATAATGTTTTACCAGCTGTCTGGGCATCCCTTAACCTAGTCAAGTGAACACAGAAAATTACTCATCATGAAAAGGGAGTAGAAGGAACAATAAGCACAAAGATTGAAGGTGTAAATAAGCCTGGTATGTTCAGAGAATAGCAGAAACTAATGGGCTGGGATGGAATAAGCCTGGCCTGTTCAGAGAATAGCAGAAACTAATGGGCTGGGATGGAGTGACTTTGGGATGTGATAAGAGATAAAGTTGGGAAGGGAAATCGAAGCAAAATGTTATCAACAGCCTGGTAGGCCATAGAAACAAGGCTGGATTTTATTCTAGGGTAGGAAAGATTTACTGAGAAAGACTGAGTTCATCTTGGGTAATAATAATGAAATCAAGCTTCCCCTGTTCAGTTTTTATAACAAACTTACAGGCAATGACTTAGGACGTCAGCATCATGTCTTCCCGAGTGCCTCAAAGAGCATATTCTGGGCAGTTCAGTCTGAATTCCCCCATCATGTTACCGTTTCTTGGTAACCCATTCAGACTTGAACTGGGATGTCTCATGTTTGCTTTCAGGACTTTGTTATGACTTTTAGTATTACTTTCAGTGGCAGAAACCTCCACTACTTTTGCACCAACTGAATATTTGGTTTTGTACTTGCCCAAAATATAATATTTAAACATTGAGCATCAGTTGATTTCACCAAAGGTTGATTTGGCTCCAAGATGCTTTGAAAAATGCTGCCTGTGGCTGAGCAGTGCTGTGGCGCTCTATCTTTCTGGCCTGAGCACCACGTAGATGTGTATTCTCTTTGATGCCTGTCTTCTGTCTGCACAGTCAGTGGTGTTGGTTTGCAGTTCTTTTTGATGGCCAACTTCTCTTTGCACGATCAGTGGTGTTGTTTTGCCCCAATGGAATCTGCCTCCTTGGAACCTAGCTGAACCAAATGGGCACTTCCTGTGAGATGCCTTTAAATAGCTCAGGACTTCCCTATGAAATTATTTCATTCTCGAGTCTATCTTATTAAAGCTAATAATTGGGGCATTGCAGTTTCTGAATCCTAGCCCCTACCTTGTTTCCCAATTCCAGTACTTACTCTCCTGCACCTGTAGTCTTAGATCCTGACCAGACCAGTGTTCCATTCTCGCATCAGTAGAAGCATGTGTTCCACCCTCACTAGACCCTCCCAAGGACTGAAATCCATTTCCCTTCCTCTCACTGCTACCACCATAATCTAAGTATCCAAATCTCACTTGGGTTATTGAATTAGCCTCCTGATTTCTCTCTCTGTATGTATGCTGCCCCCCAGAAATCCATTCGTCATATTTTGTCACTTCCTTGCTTGATTTCTTTCAATGGTTTTGAATTTAGCATAAAGTCCAAATTTCTTATCGAGATCTAGATCTCTGAGGCCCTCCATGGACTGGTCTGTGCCAGCCTTCCCAGCTTCTTCACTCATGCGTCAGCCACACTTCCCCACACTCTCAGTTCTTTCTCTCCTCAGGGCCTCTGCTATTCTTCTGCACCTCTTCCGTCTTTTTGCAGGGGTCTCAGTCCCATCAACTGGCCTTATCCAGTCTCAGACCTGTATCTCCAGAACCCAGGTGGGTGTTAAAACCAGACATTGAGGGAATAGATTTCTCAATAAACTTATGAGATATTATTCTATGATTACACATGAGGAAAACTGAAGGCACAAAGAGCTTAGATAACATGTTCAAGATTATAAAAGTAGGAAGCAGCATGTCTGGGATTTGAACTCAAGCAACCTGTCTCACAGTGCACAAAATGGCTGTACTATCCTTTCTGCCTTGTATTTTTTCTTTTCTTTCCTTTTTTTGAGTTTATTTATTTATTTATTTAAAGATGGGGTTTCACCATGTTGGTCAGGCTGGTCTTGTACTCCCAACCTCAGGTGATCTGCCCTCCTTGGCCTCCAAAGTGCTTGGATTACAGGCGTGAGCCACCGCACCCGGCCTCTGCCTCGTATTTTTAAAATGTAAACAATGTTGTTTCAGGTTTGGCCCTAAGTTAAGTGGGGAGAAGAATAAAGTTATATCAGAATTCAATGCTGGAAATAGACATTTCAAGTGGAAAGGGATTTAATCCTGAGAATTAGGTCCATTCATAATATTAATAATTAGGAGAACTAGAGTCAAAGGGTTGTCACTGGGCCACTGATGTCAGGGATGTGCCACAGTAATTGTGGTACAAGATGAGGAAACTGCTCTGAAGTAAATAGCTGTGTACGTTGCTTGCTGTTTCTCTGCATATACTTCAGCCTCACATGGTGATATCTTGTAGCTAGTGTCATAACTGAGTCATGCATAGGCCTTCCCACTGTTCTGTAAAGTCAGGTACATCTGTGCATGTTTGCTTTTTTATTTTTATTTATTTATTTATTTTTAAAAGCCAGTCAAATTTAGCAGTGGGGGGTTGTATACCAACTTAGTGCCACTAATGTTAATAAGTTCTGATAACCCACTCCCATCAGACCAGCCGCATGTTCATTTTTTAAAAAGTGATCTAAATATACTTCTTAAATATCCAAATATGACAAAATATTAAATCTGAGTGATGGATATGTTTGGGGTATTACATAATTTAATTTTTTTAATTAACAAAATTCTTACAGTGGACATTTAGTGAAAGAAACCCTTACGTTTCAGATTTTTGAAAAACATGCAAACAACAGCCACACCTCTGTCAACAGGGCTGAAAGACAAACAACACTGAGAAAAATATTTGCAGCGTGTATAACAGACTCTGATGTACCTTGAGTCTTTCTAAATCAGTAAGAAAACAGTAAACAGACCAATTTAAAAAGCAATAAAGGCCATGAAATGGAATTGCACAAAAGAAGAAATGTAGGATCCAATAAGGGTGTGAAAAATAATAATCACTAAAACTTAGTGAAATACAAATAAAAACCACAATGAAACATCTTTTTATTTTAACCACAGATTGGCAAACATAACATTGGCAAAACCAAATGTTGGCAAGACAATGAGGAGACAGGGACTTTCAAGCACAGATGTTTGGTGGGAGTGAAAATGGGTATAACCTTCCTCAGAAAGGGTAGTTTGGCAGTATGTAAATGTGAAGGCATCATCATGGGACAGTGATGTGAGTGATGGAAAGCTACCAACAGAAAAGTTACAGAGAATGTAATTGCTATAATTTTTAGAGATGGTTACATAAAGTAGAATACTCCCGGACAGAATAAGTTGCCCAGATTCCCAATCCCCAGTGTAAAATACAGCTGCCCATGATACTTCTCAATATTTTCTACACAGAGGGATGAGTCTGCCAGGAACAAGAAGCTCACACCCTCTCATTCTTATGGGATCTTGATTCTCCCTGGCCTCCTTTTGGTCTATAAACCTACCTGCTTACCAGGGACAAGTAACTATTACAAAATAACTTGAGCGTCTACTGCCAACATGAGTTGGAGGAATTGAAGAGCTGTCTTCCAAGTATACTTTTTTTCCCTGCAAAACTAAGTCTCAGGTCTACCTGAATTTTATCCTTGCAGGATCAAAATGTGATGCATGCCTATCATTGGTCTCAGATATCCCACTTCTAGAGCTTATCTTAAGAAGATAATTGCATAAATATCATAAGATGGATGATTACATATATTCATTGAAGATTTTCTAGAAATGAAAATTGGCTGAACTGAACTGCTCATCAATGGAGACTAAGTAAATTTTTATACATCCATATGATGGTCTCCTCTGGAACCACTAAAATATATGTGTACATGTTGGTATTTGTACCTCTGTGCATAAAATGTTTCTCAAAGTGGTCAGGGGCGAAATTAAAGAAAATAAATGGGTGGCTAGGTAGATGTCAGAGAGACTTCATATATATATGTTTATACATTTAAAATTTGACCATACGAATATATTAATTTTTAAATTAAAGTTAAAAAGTAGATACTGGCCAAGAGTAGTGGCTCACACCTGTAATCCCAGCACTTTGGGAGGCCGAGGCAGGCAGATCATCTGAGGTCGGGAATTCAAGACCAGCCTGGCCAACATGGGGAAACCCCGGCTCTACTAAAAATACAAAAATTAGCCAAATATGGTGGCACATGCTTGTAATCCCAGATACTCGGGAAGCTGAGACAGGAGAACTGAATCACTTGAACCCAGAAGGAGGAAGTTGCAGTGAGCTGAGATCGTGCCACCACACTCCAGCCTGGGTGACAGAGCCAGACCCAGTCTCAAAAAAAAAAAAAAAAAGGGGGGGGGGGAGATAGAGAGAGACCAGGAGAGAGAGGAACAGAGATGCCTGAAGAGAGAGCCACTAGAAGTTATAGCAGTTATTTTGGGGTAGGAAGATTTGACCCAACATGTTTTACTCCTTTAGTTTTCCATATATATATATATATATTTTTTTTTGAGACAGAGTTTCACTCTTGTTACCCAGGCTGGAGTGCAATGGCACGATCTCAGTTCACCGCAACCTCTGCCTCCTGAGTTCAAGCAATTCTCCTACCTCAGCCTCCCGAGTAGCTGGGACTACAGGCACGCACCACCATGCCCAGCTAATTTTTGTTTTTTTAGTAGAGACGGGGTTTAATCTTGTTGACCAGGATGGTCTCGATCTTTTGACCTCGTGATCCACCCGCCTCAGCCTCCCAAAGTGCTAGGATTACAGGCATGAGCCACTGCACCCGGCAGTTTTCCATATTTTTTAATCTTCAGAAGCATCTATCATTTTACATATGTAAAAAACTAAAATTACAAAAAGAAATTATATAACTATAATAAAAGATAGTAAAACCCAATTTTCATTAAAATCTTTCATTAGGGCCTGTCTGCACTGTGTTCCATCGCTCACCACGCCACTTCTCTTCCCATCCCTTGCTTCTGGAACTCTATCCTAGGAGTTTTCATTTGCTTTTTAATTTTTCTCCCTCAGAGTTGCTGATGGAGTGATCAAAAGTGTATTATGGCAAACACTTCAAGCTCTTAATTTCTGTCATAAACATAACGTAAGTAACATTTTCTAATGTATTTGTTAATTTCTTCATGATGACTTTTTTCTTCTAAATAGCTCAGGGTTTTGTTCAGAGAGTTGAAGACAAGGGAAAGTAAGAGCCAAAGAAGTGAAACAAAAGGAAGTTGAGCCTGTGATCCCAGCACTTTGGGAGGCTGAGGTGGGAGGATCACGTGAGTCCCAGAGTTTGAGACCAGCCTGGACAATATAGCAAGACCCTGTCTCTGTGAAAAAGAAGAAAAGGAAATAACAAAAGAAAGTCAAAATATGATTTTTTTAAAGTGATGCATTATTCATGGCCCTTTTCCAGTTTCTGTAAGAATCAAGTTGCTCATTCCTTATGAATTAAAAATTTGAATAAAGGTAATGATCCTTTTGCCATAGTGCTAGTGACTCCTGTGAATATTTTTAAATTGAGCTAACATAATTTTTAAGGGCCGGTGTGGTGGCTCACACCTGTAATTTCTTCACTTTGGCAGGCCAATGTGGGGAGATAGCTTTGAGCTCAGGAGTTCAAGACCAGCCTGGCCAAGATGGTGAAACCCCATCTCTACTAAAAATACAAAAAAAGTAGTCGGGCATGGTGGGTGGGCGCCTGTAATCCCAGCTACTCAGGAGGCTGATGCAGAGGATTGCTTGAACCTGGGATGTGGCAGTTTCAGTGAGCCAGGATCACGTCTCTGCACTCCAGCATGGGCAACAGAGCAAGACTCCATCTCAAAAAAAAAAAAATTAGCCAGCCATGGTGGCACGTACCCATAATCCTAGCTACTTGGGAGGCTGGAGCTGGAGAATCACTTGAACCCAGGAGGCAGAGATTGCAGTGAGCTGAGATCACAACACTGCTCACCAGCCTGGGAAACAGAGAACCTGTTTCCAAAAATAATAATAATAATAATTTTTCAGGATACTGGTGGTGTAATCCCACATGATACTTGTTTTTTTCATTTTTTACATGTCTTAAGTCCTTTACTCTATAGCAATCTAAGTCCCCCTTCCCTTTCCTTTTTAAAAATCATTTCCATTAATTTTGTATAGTCATAGTTATCAAGCTTGAGCATGCATCAAAATCACATGGAGGGCTTGTTAAAGCACAGCTTCCTGGGCCCCGCCCCCAGAGTTTCTGAATCAGTAGGTCTGCAGTAGGGCCCCAAGCATGTTCATTTCTCATATTTTCCCACATGCTACTGAAGCTGCTGGTTCAAGAACCACACTTTGAATACAGCTATGTTAGAGAACTAATTCTGGCCAACTGTTTTCTGTATGTAACTTAACTTGTTCTTTCACTTGTAGTTCCTGTAAATTGGAGTTTACATCTAGAGTTTACATCATATTCAGGTTCAGCCTTTTTTAGATAAGAATACCTCCTGTGTGGTGCTGTATACCTCCTATTGCCTCCGCATCATGAGGCGTTTGGCATCTGGTTGTCCCACTTTCACCAAAGTTGAAATTGATTACTGAGCTCAGGAAGTATGCGTTTGGTCCCTTCCGTTATCATTTTCCCTGTCAACCTTGTTTCCATGATGGTTTCAGCATCCAGTGATGATTATTGCCTGTATCTAGTATTTCATGACAGTAACTTTCTAATTCTGCTATTCCTTCTGCATTTATTAATTGGAATTGTATGGAAAAGAACTCACCCTCATGGACTCTGGCTACTTTTATTTATCAACACTCAGAGTGATGAGTTGGTATCTTAGCAACAATGACAAGTTTTGGGGAGAGATGGCTGGAGCACCATTATAAACACAAGTTTTATGTTGTGTTTTCAATCCTTTCTGTTATTGGTCTCTCTGATGCTCAGATTTTCCCATCTTAGGCCAATGAGAGCTTCTTTTAAGTTGGCTGCTTGTATCTTTGCTATATATCATTATATTTTTGAGGCAGTCTTGCTCTGTTGCCCAGGCTGGAGTGCAGTGGTGTGATCATAGCACACTTCAGCCTCAAATTCCTGGGCTCAAGTGATTCTCCCACTTCAGCCTCCCTCAGTAGCTGTGACTACAGGCATGTGCCAGTTTTTTTTTTTTTTTTGTAGAGACGGGGGTCTCACTGTCTTACCCAGGCTGGCCTCAAACTCCTGTGTTGGCTGCCCAAAGTGCCAGGATTACAGGGTGAACCACTGCACTCAGCCAATGATAGCTTTTGAAAAATATCTCTAGACCTTTTAAGTTGGTGCCTAGACAGAGACAGTGCTGAGGCAAAGACACAGAGTACCATACGGTCAGTTTTGTTGCCAGCAGAATGTCTATCATAGCAGTCTAGGATTGCCGAAAAAGAAAGTATAAGATCATGGAAATACATTTCAGTACGGAGGGGAAGCTTTCTTTAGTTTTAGGAAAGTCAGTGAAGTTTTTATTAGGTTAAATCAAAAGCTTTTCTTTTCTTCTTTTTTTCTTTTTTTGAGACAGAGTCTTGCTCTGTCTCCCAGGCTAGAGTGCAGTGGCATAATCTCGGCTCACTGCACCATCCACCTCCCAGGTTCAAGCGATTCTCCTGCCTCAGCCTCTTGAGTAACTGGGATTACAGGCACCTCCCACCACGCCCAGCTAATTTTTGTATTTTTAGTAGAGATGGGGTTTCACCTTCTTGGCCATGCTGGTTTCAAACTGCTGACCTTGTGATTTACCCACCTCACCCTCCCAAAGTGCTGGGATTACAGGCGTGAACCACTGCGCCCGGCCAAACGCTTTTATTTTCTATTAATGTAGAGGGACATTTTTTACAAACCAGTAAACCTGTTTTTCATGATGCAAATTGTGCTTTCTAATACTTAATGAAGATGATGCCAAATTGAGTCCCTATCTCTGTTGCTTCCCACCATGCTATAGGAGGTATCAAAGTTGCTGCAGGAGTTTTGCAGATAGTTAAAATGATCTCTAAAAATATCACTTACCACAAGTGTTTATACTTTATCCCTTTATTACCAAACAGTTTCCTGGGTACTTGGTGCTTGAATGCAATGTCTGTGGCTGCTTTATCTTTGTATCTCTCTAATACCTAACTTGGATATTTTTCTATAAAGGGTGCTCAATAAATATTTATTAAATAATTGGACGGATGGATGGATGGATGGATGGATGGATGGATGGATGGATGGATAGATGAGTCAGTCAGCTCATCAGTCAATTGCCTGACTGACTTACTATTTCCAGTGGCCCCAAACGTTAGTGTAGATCAATACAACTGCCATCATTTCTCTGCTTGGAACAACACATTCTATAGCTTAAGCTCTAAAACACAGAAAACTTCTGATTGATAATCTATGGGCTCTATTTAAAATAGATAATTTTTCAGGCCAGGCATGGAGATAATCCTAACGAGGACACTGAAGGGTAAAGTAGCAAGGGATTCAGGCCTTGCTACTCCAAGCATGGATCATAGAGATCACCTGGGAGCTTGTTAGAACTGCTGAATCTGACGTCCACTCCAGACCTGCTGAATCAGAGTCTGCATTTTAACAAGAGCTCCAGGTGACTCATGTGCACATTAAATTTGGAGAAGCACAGGACTTAAGAAAATACCTACTCATTTTGTTCTGTTTTATACTACAATATCACTAGAGTGAGATAACCAAAGTGATCCATTTAACGCCATAATGAACCCATGGATTTTTATATATTTGATGTATTGATTAGAGAAAAGGGGCTTCATCTCAAAATGGCAAAAATGACTTCTTTTTTCCTTTTCTTTTGTTTTCTGAGACAGAGTCTTGCTCTTTTGCCCAGGCTAGAATGCAGTGGCACCTTCACAGCTCACTGCAACCTCAGCCTCCCATGTTCAAGCAATCCTTCCACCTCAGCCTCCCAAGGAACTGGCACTACAGGCATATGCTACCATGCATGGCCAATTTAAAAAAATAATTCTTTTTTGTAGAGATAGTCTCATTGTGTTGCCCACGGTGGTTTCAAACCCCAGACCTCAAGTGATCCTCCCACCTTGGCCTCCTAAAGAGTTAGGATTACAGCATGAGTCATCATGTCCAGTTGGCAAAAATGACTTCTGTGATAGGAGTGGGTCAGGCTGCAACATCCTTCAGCATCTTGTTGGTATCTATGTTTTGGTTGTCAAGGAGGGGGTCCTTTTTCTCTGTCCTTGCTGTGTGAGCATCCATGCCTAAGCCTCAAACAGAATAAATTTATCAGTTAATAAAAAACGATTTATTGTTATCAGGCTATTTAAGAAGCAATTTCTGATGTGCAAGTTTGCAGAGATGATTTTAAAGTTAAAAGTCAGTTTTAAAATATCATGGATCTCTCTTTTGGCTGGCTTGTGAGACAAAAAAAAATTGCCCATCAGCCACAACAACCCAACCTGAGCAATGTTTGCTAAAATCTGTGTATAAAACTCAGTTTATTAAAATTATTTTATTAAGAGACCTGCATGTTTTTTGTTCTTTGAGGGAAAATAAGCTGATTGAAAGTGGCATTGCAGAGACTTTGCACGGAATGTGGCTTTGCAGTGGAGTAGGTGAATGTTGTATGTCTGAGCATCTTCATCCCCCCACATCGTGTTTCTTATGGTTCTAATTTTTTATTTTATTTGTGTATTTTTTAATATTTATTTATTTATCTATTCTGAAACGGAGTCTGGCTCTGTAGCCCAGGCTAGAGTGCAGGGCTCGACCTTGGCTCATGGCAGCCTCCACTTCCTGGGTTCAAGTGATTCTCCTGCATCAGCCCCTGAGTAGCTGGGATGACAGGCACCCACCACCACTCCTGGCTAATTTTTGTATGTTTAGTAGAGACAGGGTTTCATCACGTTGGCCAGGCTGGTCTCGAACTCCTGACCTCAGGTGACCCGCCTGCCTCGGCCTCCCAAAGTGGCGGGATTACAGGCATGAGCCACCATGCCAACTAGGTTCCAATTATTTTTACTCACTTTTTAATTTCTTCAATATCCTCTCACTCTTTGTCAGTAACTTCTCTTACCTGCTCCTATACCAATGCATGTTCCTGTTTCTTTGGGATATGTCAACACTTCATTTCCCTTTGTATATTTGGTCAAAAAATAAGTGCTATAAATTTCACATGGATTAGATCCAGAAAACAGATGTATAGGCCAATGGACAGATATCAATGTAAATCCATTTACTTGGTAATGCTACACATAGTCTAGAAAATTCTAGAATTTGATGCAAACTCATTTAAGGAACATAACCTGTTCAAATGTAATCACCAACTGTGTTACTGACGCAGAGTGTTAGTCTGTTTCATAAGTGTGTTGCTTAAAAGGATATCAAAACTATGTTCATTTATATTCTAACAATTTTTTTTGAGACAGGGTCTCACGCTGTCACCCAGGCTAGAGTTCAGTAGTGCCATCTTGGCTCACTGCAACCTCTACCTCCTGGGGAACAAGCCGTCCTCCCATCTCAGCCTCCTATGTAGCTGGGACTAAAGGTACATGCCACTACAACTGGCTGCTTTTTGTATTTTTTGTAGAGATGGAGTTTCATTATTGGACTCAGGCTGGTCTCAAACTCCTGAGCTCAAGCAATCTTCCCACCTTGGCCTTCCAAAGTGCTGGGATTACAGTCATCAGCCACCATGCCGAGCCTATGTATTTTTTTAAATTAGTGTCTATGGCCTTAGTACTTTTAAGAGACCTAAAAAAGTTTCTTCTAAATTCTCTTCATACAGATTGCGAAGCAGTTGACAGTAATTGAGACTAAGTAGGAACAAGCTCCTGTTACCAGTGTCATTTCTGGAAACTAAAATGAATTTAGGACTCAGCTTTTTTTCTTTCTAGATAGCTATTAGAGAAGCAAAGAAAATCGTTTCAGAATTGTCAATTTGACGGAAATACTTAAAGGGCTTGATAGCATAGCAGAGAAGGAGGCTGGAGTTGATGATTGCGACACTTAATTCGTGGATGCTCTCAGTGACCACTTGCAATCACAGGATTGTTGCAAGGATGAATAATCCATGCTTTGAATGGAAAGTGCTTTGAAAAGTATAGAGTTCCCTGTGAGGGCCCAGTTGTGGAGATCGATATTATTTTCATCCATTTTCTTTTTTTGGGAGTGTGGATAAACTGGAAAGTTCTGAAGAGTAAGGCTGCAACATGGAAACCCATTTCTGGAATGCCCATGTTTAGCCTGCCCTCACCCAGGCCTATAGCCGGGCGGCTCCTGTCCAGCAAGGAGCCTCTGCTTCATTCAGGGTCATTATGATGAGGCAGAAAATTGTAAGGCTGCTGCATATGAAAGAATAGCGGGGGCCAGGCACAGTGGCTCACACCTGTAATCTCAAAACTCTGGGAGGCCGAGGCAGGAGGATCACTTGAGCTCAGTATTTCGAGACCAGCCTGGCCAACGTGGTGAAACCCGTCTCTTCTAAAAATACAAAATTAGCCGGCATGGTGACAAGCGCCTGTAATCCTAGCTACTTGGGACACACCCGTAGTCTCAGCTACTCGAGAGACTGAGGCAGGAGACTCACTTGAACCCGGGAGGCAGAGGCTGCAGTGAGCCGAGATCGCACCATTGCACTTCAGCCTGGGTGACACAGTGAGACCCCCATCTCAAAAAACAAAGACAAAAAACAAAGCTTCTTTGAGGTCAGAGTGCCTCGTAGTGGGGTCCCACTTTCTCAGTAGGGATTCTGACTCAGAAGTGTTGCTGTTTGTTCCAGGCTAGCTCCGTGGTGAGGAGATGGAAGTGATCCCCATCCCCTGACACAGAATGCCTTGGAATCTCTGCTAAGTAGGAGACTGTGCGCCCAAGCTGGCCCAGGGCAGTCTTGGCTTGTGCCTGTTGTCCTGTGATTTTTAATAGGCCCATCTTTCAACACTTGGAAGTGTCCTGATTTGAATGATAAAGAATATGGACATTCTAATTAGAAGTGAATTTTGCTTTTTGTTATCACTTAAATGTTTTTCTAATTTCTCAAACCTGCAATAGTTTTTCAACCTGAATTGTGACTCTTGAGTGACAGCAGTTATTAGAGGTACTCTGAGTCTAATCTTATTTAGGGTTTTACATCTTATAGGATAAATAGGGCCTAGCAAAATGTGAAAGAAATAATTGTATGATACTGTCTTCTTGAATTTTTTTTTATATATAGGGTGTAGCTCAGTTGCTCAGGCTGCAGTGCAGTGTGATTATAGCTCACTGCAGCCTCAACCTTCCAGGTGCAAGTGATCCTTCTGCCTCAGCCTCCTACGTAGCTAGGACCAAAAGTGCATGCCCCCATGCCTGGCTAATTTTTAAGCTTTTTTTGTAGGGAGAGGGTCTCACTGCATTGGCCAGACTGGTCTCAAACTCCTGACCTTAAGTTATCCTCCCACCTGGGCTTCTTAAAGTGCTGAGATTATAGACATGAGCCACCACACCCAGCCTGATACTTCCTTCTTTAAAAAAAAAAAAAAAAGACACAGTTTTCTTATACAATTATAATTTTAATTTTTTCAATAATAAAACAATATTTTAATAATTTTTAAAACTTTGGCATGACAAGATTTACAAGTGAAAATTTGCCAATTTAAGTTCTTTTAGAAAAATTAAAGAAACCCATATTTGTTTTTATCTCATAAGTTGTGTATCTGTTGTTTAAACTGGTAGTTAATGTTTATTCTTTGTCATTTTGATGGTTCAGAAAAATAATCAAATAATGATTTTACAGTGTATTCACAGAGATGTAAAACCTGAAAATATTCTAATAACTAAGCAAGGAATAATCAAGATTTGTGACTTTGGGTTTGCACGAATTCTGAGTAAGTAGCAACATTTTTTACTGATATTTAATTCAGATGATAACAAAATGACATGGTTTAATGCTTTGGATTTTGAATGTACTCCAAATGTGGTATTGTTGTTATTCAAAAAGGAAAATCTCACTTTAGCCTGTTTGCTCTTCAACTCTGCTCCATTCAGCTAATTTATTGTATGTCACCTTTCTGTGCTTTGCTCCATAGAAGAGGAAAAGAATTCTAAGAGCATTTCTGCTCTTCATGCACTTATAATCTACAGTAAAAGAAACAAAGAATAATACAAGATGATTAGCAATAAAGTACTAAAGTGAAGGTGCAGACGGTTCCCTGGAGGGAGATATTAATGTGGGCGAGAGTGGTTGAAAAACTTCATGGAACTGTTGAGACTAGAAAGAGTAAACTGAAAATTAAAGAGACAGGATTCAGAGACAGTGCTAAGAAAAAGGAAATCATTTCGGGCAAGGAGGAACTGAAGGGAAAGGGGGACAAATAACTGTTTCTCCCTCAATCTAGAACTTTACAGCAGACAAATATATGTATTAGCAGCATACACCTTGCAGTCTGGGTGTGGACATAATCAGTATTCTGATGGGGCCCAAACACAAGTGACTTGGCAATGCATTTGGAAGGGCTGAGCAAAAACAAAAACTAATCAAGGCTCTCTGAGGTTGCTGTGCTTTGTGGTATAAGATAATAGGATCCTAATGATAAGTGGTCCCTGTGCCATGGGGCTGAAAAGAGAAATATACAAACACTGGAAGACTATGGAGCTGTGAACGCTGCACATAGTACCATGTGCATCAGTATCATGAAATGCTAGGCTGCCATTAGCAGGGATGTTTGCAGTTTCAGTGACATCAGCAAATGTTTAAGACACAGTAAGGGAAAAAGGAAAGTGAAAACATATGTACACAGTATGATCTCAGCTGTATAGGAAATACATTAAAAATACTGAAATATATATGACCCTCAATTTAGGAAATGAAGTGAATAATAGTCATCCAGGCTGGGTGTGGTCACTCACGCCTGTAATCCCAGCATTTTTGGAGGTGAAGGCAGGCGGATCACAAGGTCAGGAGATTGAGACCATCCTGGCTAACACGGTGAAACCCTATCTCTACTAAAACCCTATCTCTACAAAAAAATAGCCAGGTGTGGTGGCACGCGCTTGTAGTCCCAGCTACTGGGGAGGCTGAGGCAGGAGACTCGCTTGAACCCAGGAGGTAGAAGTTGCAGTGAGATGAGATCGCGCCACTGCCCTCCAGCCTGGTGACAAAGGGAGACTCCATCTCAAAAAAAAAAAAATCATCCAATGTATGGTATAGATGTGGTGTCATGGATTTGGGGATTTTTCCTGGAAATCCATTATTCTCAGCTTGGTTGCTGCTGGTGTATAGCAGGGCTACTGATTTGTGTACCTTAATTTTGTTATCCTGAAATTTTGCTGAATTCATTTACCAGTTCCAGGAGCTTTTTGAATGAGTCTTTAGGGTTTTCAAGGCAAACGATCATGTCATCAGCAAACAGCAAAAGTTTGACTTCATCTTTACCAATTTAGATGCTGTTTATTTCTTTCTTTTGTCTAATTGCTCTGTCTAGGACTTCCAATACTATGTTGAATAGTAGTGGTGAAAGTAGCCATCCTTGTCTTGTTCCAGTTCTCGGGGGAAATGCTTTCAACTTTTCCCCATTCAGTATCATGTTGACTGTGAGTTTGTCATAAATGGCTTTTATTACCTTAAGGTATGTCCCTTCTATGATTATCCTGAGGGTTTTAAGCATAAAGCGATGCTGAATTTTGTCAAATGCTTTTTCTGCATCTATTGAGATGACCTTGTGATTTTTTTAAAATTCTATTTATGTGGTATATCACGTTTATTGACTTGCAGATGTTAAACCATCCCTGCATCCCTGGTATGAAACCCATTTGATCATGGTGGATTATCTTTTGGATATGCTGTTGGATTTGGTTAGCTAGTATTTTGTTGAGGATTTTTGCATTTATGTTCGTCAGGGATATTGTTCTTTAGTTTTTTTTTTTGTTATGTCCTTTCCTGGTTTTGGTATTAGGGTGATAATAGAATGATTTAGGGAGGATTCCCTCTTTCTCTGTCTTTTGAAAGAGTGTCAGTAGTATTGGTACCAATTTTTCTTTGAATGTCTGATAAAATTTAGCTGTGAATCTCTCTGATCTTGGACTTTTTTCACTGGTAACTTTTAAATTATCATTTCAATCTCCTCACTACTTGTTATTAGTCGTTCAGAGGTTCTATTTCTTCCTGGTTTAATCTAGGAGGGTTGTATATTTCCAGGAATTTATCCATGTCCTCTAGGTTTTCTAGTTTATGCACATAAAGGTGTTCATAGAAGCCTTGAGTGATCTTTTGTATTTCAGTGGTATCAGTTGTAATATCTCCTGTTTCATTTCTTTTTTTTTTTTTAATTTTTTATTGGATTTTAGGTTTTGGGGTACATGAGCAGAGCATGCAAGACAGTTGCGTAGGTACACACATGGCAGTGTGCTTTGCTTTCCTTCTCCCCTTCACCCACATTTGGCATTTCTCCCCAGGCTATCCCTCCCCACCTCCCCCTCCCACTGGCCCTCCCCTTTTCCCCCCAATAGACCCCAGTGTTTAGTACTCCCCTTTCTGTGTCCATGTGTTCTCATTTTTCATCACCCGCCTATGAGTGAGAATATGCGGTGTTTCATTTTCTGTTCTTGTGTGAGTTTGCTGAGGATGACGTTCTCCAGATTCATCCATGTCCCTACAAACGACACGAACTCATCATTTCTGATTGCTGCATAATATTCCATGGTGTATATGTGCCACATTTTTCCAATCCAGTCTATCATCAATGGGCATTTGGGTTGATTCCAGGTCTTTGCTATTGTAAACAGTGCTGCAATGAACATTCGTGTACATGTGTCCTTATAGTAGAACGATTTATAGTCTTTTGGATATGTACCCAGTAATGGGATTGCTGGGTCAAATGGAATTTCTATTTCTAAGGCCTTGAGGAATCGCCACACTGTCTTCCACAATGGTTGAACTAATTTACACTCCCACCAACAGTGTAAAAGTGTTCCTTTTTCTCCACATCCTCTCCAGCATCTGTTGTCACCAGATTTTTTAATGATCACCATTCTAACTGGCGTGAGATGGTATCTTAATGTGGTTTTGATTTGCATCTCTCTGATGACCAGTGACGATGAGCATTTTTTCATATGATTTTTGGCCTCATATATGTCTTCTTTTGTAAAGTGTCTGTTCATATCTTTTGCCCACTTTTGAATGGGCTTGTTTTTCTTCTGTAAATCTGTTTGTGTTCTTTGTAAATTCTGGATATCAGCCCTTTGTCAGATGGGTAAACTGTAAAAATTTTTTCCCATTCTGTTGGTTGCCGATCCACTCTGGTGACTGTTTCTTTTGCCGTGCAGAAGCTGTGGAATTTAATTAGGTCCCATTTGTCTATTTTGGCTTTTGTTGCCAATGCTTTTGGTGTTTTGTTCATGAAGTCCTTGCCTACTCCTATGTCCTGGATAGTTTTGCCTAGATTTCCTTCTAGGGTTTTTATCGTGCCAGGTCTTATGTTTAAGTCTTTAATCCATCTGGAGTTAATTTTAGTGTAAGGTGTCAGGAAGGGGTCCAGTTTCTGCTTTCTGCACATGGCTAGCCAGTTTTCCCAACACCATTTGTTGAACAGGGAATCCTTTCCCCCTTGCTTGTTTTTGTCAGGTTTATCAAAGATTGTATAGTTGTAGATATGTTGTGTTGCCTCCGGTGCCTCCGTTTTGTTCCATTGGTCTATATCTCTGTTTTGGTACCAGTACCATGCTGTTTTGATTACTGTAGCCTTGTAGTATAGTTTGAAATCCAGTAGTGTGATGCCCCCCGCTGTGTTCTTTTTGCTTAGAATTGACTTGGCTATGCGGGCTCTCTTTTGGTTCCATATGAAGTTCATGGTGGTTCTTTCCAGTTCTGTGAAGAAAGTCAATGGTAGCTTGATGGGGATAGCATTGATTCTGTAAATTACTTTGGGCAGTATAGTCATTTTCACGATATTAATTCTTCCTAACCATGAACATGGAATGTTTCTCCATCTGTTTGTGTCCTCTCTGATTTCGTTGAGCAGTGGTTTGTACTTCTCCTTGAAGAGGTCCCTTACATTCCTTGTGAGTTGTATTCCAAGGTATTTTATTCTTTTTGTAGCAATTGCGAATGGCAGTTCGTTCTTGATTTGGCTTTCTTTAAGTCTGGTATTGGTGTAGACGAATGCTTGTGATTTTTGCACATTGATTTTATATCCTGAGACTTTGCTGAAGTTGCTTATCAGTTTCAGGAGTTTTTGGGCTGAGGCGATGGGGCCCTCTAGGTATATTATCATGTCGTCTGCAAATAGAGACAATTTGGCTTCCACCTTTCCTATTTGAATACCCTTTATTTCTTTTTCTTGCCTGATTGCTCTGGCTAGAACTTCCAGAACTATATTGAATAGGAGTGGTGAAAGAGGGCATCCTTGTCTAGTGCCAGATTTCAAAGGGAATGCTTCCAGTTTTTGCCCATTCAGTATGATATTGGCTGTTGGTTTGTCATAAATAGCTTTTATTACTTTGAGATACGTTCCATCGATACCGAGTTTATTGAGGGTTTTTAGCATAAAGGGCTGTTGAATTTTGTCAAATGCCTTCTCTGCGTCAATTGAGATAATCATGTGGTTTTTGTTTTTGGTTCTGTTTATGTGGTGAATTACGTTGATAGACTTGCGTATGTTGAACCAGCCTTGCATCCCCGGGATGAATCCTACTTGATCATGATGAATAAGTTTTTTGATTTGCTGTTGCAATCGGCTTGCCAATATTTTATTGAAGATTTTTGCATCTATGTTCATCATGGATATTGGCCGGAAGTTTTCTTTTCTTGTTGGGTCTCTGCCAGGTTTTGGTATCAGAATGATGTTGGTCTCATAAAATGATTTGGGAAGGATTCCCTCTTTTTGGATTGTTTGAAATAGTTTTAGAAACAATGGTACCAGCTCCTCTTTGTGTGTCTGGTAGAATTTGGCTGTGAGCCCGTCTGGATCTGGGCTTTTCTTGAGTGGTAGGCTCTTAATTGCTGCCTCGACTTCTGACCTTGTTATTGGTCTATTCATAGTTTCAGCTTCCTCCTGGTTTAGGCTTGGGAGGACACAGGAGTCCAGGAATTTATCCATTTCTTCCAGGTTTACTAGTTTATGTGCATAGAGTTGTTTGTAATATTCTCTGATGATGGTTTGAATTTCTGTGGAATCTGTGGTGATTTCCCCTTTATCATTTTTTATTGCATCTATTTGGTTGTTCTCTCTTTTCTTTTTAATCAGTCTGGCTAGTGGTCTGTCTATTTTGTTGATCTTTTCAAAAAACAAGCTCTTGGATTTATTGATTTTTTGAAGGGTTTTTCGTGTCTCAATCTCCTTCAGTTCAGCTCTGATCTTAGTTATTTCCTGTCTTCTGCTGGGTTTTGAGTTTTTTTGATCTTGCTCCTCTAGCTCTTTCAATTTTGATGATAGGGTGTCGATTTTGGATCTCTCCATTCTCCTCATATGAGCACTTATTGCTATATATTTTCCTCTAGAGACTGCTTTAAATGTGTCCCAGAGGTTCTGGCATGTTGTGTCTTCGTTCTCATTGGTTTCGAAGAGCTTCTTTATTTCTGTCTTCATTTCATTGTTTACCCAGTCAACATTCAAGAGCCAGTTGTTCAGTTTCCATGAAGCTGTATGGTTCTTGGTTGGTTTCTGTATTCTGAGTTCTAACTTGATTGCACTATGGTCTGAGAGGCTGTTTGTTATGATTTCAGTTGTTTTGCATTTGTTGAGCAGTGCTTTACTTCCAATTATGTGGTCAATTTTAGAGTAGGTGTGATGTGGTGCTGAGAAGAATGTATATTCTGTGGATTTGGGGTGGAGAGTTCTGTAAATGTCTATCAGGTTTGCTTGCTCCAGGTCTGAGTTCAAGCCCTGGATGTCCTTGTTGATTTTCTGTCTGGTTGATCTGTCTAATAATGACAGTGGAGTGTTAAAGTCTCCCACTATTATTGTGTGGGAGTCTAAGTCTCTTTGTACGACATTAAGAACTTGCCTTATGTATCTGGGTGCTCCTGTATTGGGTCCATATATGTTTAGGATCGTTAGCTCTTCTTGTTGTATCGATCCTTTTACCATTATGTAATGGCCTTCTTTGTCTCTTTTGATCTTTGTTGCTTTAAAGTCTATTTTATCAGAGATGAGAATTGCAACTCCTGCTTTTTTTTTGCTCTCCATTTGCTTGGTAAATCTTCCTCCATCCCTTTATTTTGAGCCTTTGTGTATCCTTGCATGTGAGATGGGTTTCCTGGATACAGCACACTGAAGGGTTTTGGACTTTTATCCAATTTGCCAGTCTGTGTCTTTTGATTGGTGCATTTAGTCCATTTACATTTAGGGTTAATATTGTTATGAGTGAATTTGATACTGCCATTTTGATGCTAAGTGGCTGTTTTGCCTGTTAGTTGTTGTAGATTCTTCATTATGTTGATGCTCTTTAGCATTTAGTGTGATTTTGGAATGGCTGGTACTGGTTGTTCCTTTCTATGTGTAGTGCCTCTTTTAGGAGCTCTTGTAAAGCAGGCCTGGTGGTGACAAAATCTCTGAGTACTTGCTTGTTCACAAAGGATTTTATTTTTCCTTCACTTCTGAAGCTCAGTTTGGCTGGATATGTAATTCTGGGTTGAAAGTTCTTTTCTTTAAGAATGTTGAATATTGGCCCCCACTCTCTTCTGGCTTGTAGTGTTTCTGCCGAGAGATCTGCTGTGAGTCTGATGGGCTTCCCTTTGTGGGTGACCCGACCTTTCTCTCTGGCTGCCCTTAGTATTTTCTCCTTTATTTCAACCTTGTTGAATCTGACGATTATGTGCCTTGGGGTTGCTCTTCTTGCAGAATATCTTTGTGGTGTTCTCTGTATTTCCTGCATTTGAGTGTTGGCCTGTCTTGCTAGGTGGGGGAAATTTTCCTGGATGATGTCCTGAAGAGTATTTTCCAGCTTGGATTCATTCTCTTCGTCCCCTTCTGGTACACCTATCAAACGTAGGTTAGGTCTTTTCACATAGTCCCACATTTCTTGGAGACTTTGTTCATTCCTTTTTGCGCTTTTTTCTCTAATCTTGGTTTCTCGTTTTATTTCATTGAGCTGGTCTTCGACTTCAGATATTCTTTCTTCTGCTTGGTCAATTCGGCTATTGAAACTTGTTCATGCTTTGCGAAGTTCTCATATTGCGTTTTTCAGCTCCTTTAATTCATTCATATTCCTCTCTAAGTTATCCATTCTTGTTATCATTTCCTCATATCTTTTTTCAAGTTCCTTAGTTTCTTTGCATTGATTTAATACATGTTCTTTTAGCTCACAAAAGTTTCTCATTATCCACCTTCTGAAGTCTAATTCCGTCATTTCATCACAGTCATTCTCCGTCCAGCTTTGTTCCCTTGCTGGTGAGGAGTTTTGGTCCTTTCTAGGAGGCGAGGTGTTCTGGTTTCGGGTGTTTTCCTCCTTTTTTCACTGGTTTCTTCCCATCTTTGTGGATTTATTCGCTTGTCGTCTGCGTAGTTGCTGGCTTTTCGATTGGGTCTCTGAGTGGACACCCAGATTGTTATGATGAAGTATTTCTGTTACTTGGTTTTTCTTCTACCAGTCTAGCCCCTTTGCTGTACGACTGCTGAGGTCTACTCCAGGCCCTGCTTGTTTGGGGTGCACCTCTAGCAGCTGTGGCACAGTGAGGGATGCTACCAGTTTCTTTTTCTTCTATCTTTGTCCCAGGATGATGCCTGCCAAATGTCAGTCTTTTGGATATAGAGAGGTCAGGGAGCTGCTTGAGGAGACAGTCTGTACTTTATAGGAGCTCAATTGCTCAGCTGTGATCTCTGTTGTTCATTCAGGGCTGTTAGGCTGCTATGTTTGATTCTGCTGCAACAGAGCTCATTAAAAAAACCCTTTTTTTCTCAAATGCTCTGTGTTGGGGGGTTCGGGCTTAATTTTTGGATGTTCGTTGAGATGTCCTGCCCAGCTAGGAGGCAGACTAGCCACTGTTTGCCTGCTGAGGCTCCGCCCTGCTGTTGTGAGGCTCACCCTGTTGGGGCAGGCTCTGCTGTTCTGCTGTGGTCTCCGCCACGCCCTGAGGTGGAGTCTCTTTGTTGTAGCAGGTTGCCTCGGCAACGGCAGGCTGCATCAGCAGTGGGCGTGTATCTCAGTAGGGACGGGTTGCCTCGGCAATGGCTGGCTGCGTCAGCAGTGGGCGTGTATCTCAGTTGGGGCGGCTTGCCTCGGTAATGGTGGACGCCCCTCCCCCACAGAGCATCTCGGACCGACTGCATGGGGATCGTTTGAAATCGTGGTTTTTGTTCGTCCCACTGGGCTAGCCCAAACGCTCTGTCCCTGCAATCCCCTGGGCTGGCCCACTGTCCAAGTCTCGTTCAGTCTCAAGTCCAGCCCTCTCAAGTCTCAGGTTGCCGGTTCAACAGGGCACCCAGAAAAGCGCGCCCTATGGGGAGCGATGGGTAGGGCCGGCCGCCACCACCCCGGCTGCCGGCTTTGCCAGGCAGCGGTACTGCCAGGTGTCCCACGTCTCCTTTATACTTGGGAATTTCCCCGTTCTGTGGGCAACAAAGATCAGTCTGGAAATGCAGCTCTGACTCACCTCTCCGCGGATTCAAGGAGAGCTCCAATCCTGGGTTGTTCTCACAGCGCCATCTTGAGTCCTCCCCCTCTCCTGTTTCATTTCTAATTGAGCTTATTTTGATCTTCTCTCTTCTTTTCTTGGTTAATCTTGCTAATGGCCTATCAATTTCATTTATCTTTTCAAAGAACGAGATTTTTGTTTCATTTATCTTTTGTGTTTTTTTTGTTTGTTTCAGTTTCATTTACTTCTGCTCTGATCTCAGTTTTCTTCTCCTGTGTTTGGGTTTGGTTTGTTCTTTTTTCTCTAGCTCCTTGAGGTGTGACCTTAGATTGTCCATTTGTGCTCTTTCAGATTTTTTGATGTAGGCATTTAATGCAAGGAACTTTCCTCTTAGCATTGCCTTTGCTGTATCCCAGAGGTTTTGATAGGTTGTGTCACTATTATTATTCAGTCCAAAGAATTTTTAAATTTCCATCTTGATTTCACTGTTGACCCAACAATCATTCAGGAGCAGATTATTTAATTTCCATGTATTTGCATGGGTTTGAGGATTCCTTTTGGATTTGATTTTCAATTCTATTCCATTGTGGTGTGAGAGAGTTCTTGCTATAATTTCAATTTTCTCTTAACTTTTTTTTTGTTTTATGGCTTATTATAGGGTCTATCATGGTGAATGTTCCATGTGTTGATGAAGAGAATGTATATTTTGAAGTTGTTGGGGAGAATGTTCTGTAAATATCTGTTAACGCTATTTGTTGTAGGGTATAGTTTAAGTCCATTGTTTGTTTACTTCCTGTCTTTATGACCTGTCTAGTGTTGTCAGTGGAGTATAGAAGTCCCCCACTATTATTGTGTTGCTGTCTATTTCTTAGGTCTAGTAGTACTTGTTTCATAAATTTGAGAGCTCCAGTGTTAGGTGCATATATATTTAGGATTGTGATATTTACCTGTTGGACTAGTTTTTTAAAATTATCATTATATATAATGATGTCCCTCCTTGTTTAACTGCTGTTGCTTTAAGTCTGTTTTGTCTGATATAAGAATCACTACTCCTGCTCACTTTTGGTATCCATTTTCATGGAATTCCTTCTTCCACGCCTTTACCTCCAGTTTATGGGAGTCCTTATATGTCAGGTGAGTCTCTCGAAGACAGCAGATACTTGGTTGATGAATTCCTATTCACTCTGCCATTCTGTATCTTTTAAGTGGACCATTTAGGCCATTTACATTCAACATCAGTATTGGGATGTGAGGTACTACTCTATTCATCATGCTATTTGTTGCCTGAATACCCTGAGTTTTTTCATTGTGTTGTTGTTTTATAGGTCCTTTGAGATTAATGCTTTAAGGAGATTATTTTGGTGTACTTCAAATATTTGTTTGAAGACTTAGAGCTTGTTTTAGCAGTTTCTGCAGTGCTGGCTTGGTAGTGGTGAATTGTCTCAGCATTTGTTTGTCTGAAAAAGACTGTATCTTTCATTCACTTATGAAGCTTAGCTTCACTAGATACAGAATTCTTGGCTGATAATTGTTTTGCTTAAGGAGGCTAAAGATACAACCTCAATCCCTTCTAGCTTGTAGGGTTTCTACTGAGAAATCTGCTGTTAATCTGATAGGTTTTCCCTTATAGTACCTGATGCTTTTGTCTCATAGCTCTTAATATTCTTTCCTTCATCTTGACTTTAGATAACCTGATGCCGGGGTGCCTAGGTGATGATCTTTTTGTGATGAATTTCCCAGGTGTTTTTTGAGTTTCTTGTATTTGGACATCTAGGTCTCTAGTGAGGCCAGGGAAGTTTTCCTCAATTATTTCCTCAAATGTGTTTTCCAAACTTTTAGATTTCTCTTCTTCCTTGGGAACACCAATTTTTCTTAGGTTTGGTCATTAAACATAATCCTAAATTTCTTGGAGGCTTTGTTCATTTTTTTAAATTCTTTTTTTCTTTGTCTATGTCAGATTGGGTTAATTTGAAAGCCTTGTCTTCGAGCTCTGAAGTTCTTTCTTGTACTTGTACAATTCTATTGCTGAGACTTTCCAGTGCATTTTGCATTACTCTAAGTGTGTCCTTGATTTCCAGAAGTTGTGATTTTTTTTTAAATTTATGCTCTCTATTTCACAGGAGATTTTTTCATTCATATCCTGTATCATTTTTGTTTGTTTGTTTCTTTTGGTTGGATTTCATTTTTCTCTGGTGCCTCCTTGATTGGCTTAATAGTTGAACTTCTAAATTCTTTTTCTGTCAATTCAGAGATTTTCTTTTGGTTTGGATCCATTGCTGGCAAGCTAGTATAATCTTTTGGGAGTGTTAAAGACTTGTTTTGGGCCAGACACAGTGGTTAACACCTGTAATCCCAACACTTTGGGAGACCAAGGCAGGCAGATACCTGAGGTCAGGAGTTTGAGACCAGCCTGGCCAATATGGTGAAACCTCATCTGTACTAAAAGTTCAAAAATTAGCTGGGTGTGACAGCACATACCTATAGTCCCAGCTACTTGGAAGGCTGAGGCCGAAGAATCACTTATACTCAGGAAGCAGAGGTTGCAGTGAGCCACTACACTCCAGCCTAGGTGCCAGAGTCTTGTTAAGAAAAAAAAAAAGAACCTTGTTTTGTGGTCATATTACTGGAATTGTTTTTCTGGTTTCTTCTCATTTGGGTAGACTATGTCAGAGGGAAGGTCTGGGACTCGAGGGCTGCTCTTTAGGTTCTTTTGTTCCATGGGGTACTCCCTTGATGTGGTCCCTTTTCCCCTAGGGATGGGGCTTCCTGAGAGCCAAACTGCATTGATTGTTATTTTTCTTCTGAATCTAGCCACCCAGAGAAGCTACCAGGCTCTGGGCTGGTACTAGAAAGTGTCTGCAAAAAGTTCTGTGATGTGGTCCATTATCAGGTCTTTCAGCCATGGATACCAGCACCTGCTCTGGTAGAGGTAGCAGGGGAGTGAAGTGGACTCTGTGAGAATCCTTAGTTGTATTTTTGTTAAGTGCATGGTTTTATGTTGATTGACCTCCAGCCAAGAGGTGGTGCTCTCAAGAGCACATCAGCTGCAGTAGCATAGGGTGGATCAGGCAGTGGTGGGGCCATAGAGCTCCCAGAAGAATATAACCTTTGTTTTGGGAGTTCCTTGACTGTCCCACAGAGCCTGCAGCAGTAATCCACCTTCTTCAAAGGGTCTGTGAATTCTCTTGGCTTTCCTGGTAAACATTTCTTTAAAGAAGATATACAAGGCTGGACACAGTGGCTCATACCTGTAATCCCAGCTATTCAAGAGTCTGAAGCATGAGAATCACTTGAACTCAGGAGGTGGAGGTTGCAGTGAGTGAGCCAAGATCGTACCACTACACTCCAGCCCGGGCGACAGAGTGAGACCCTGTCTCAAAAAAAATTAAAAATTCAAAAAACAAAAAAGATACACAAATGGCCAATAAGCACATGAAAAGATGCTTAAGGGAAATGCAAATCAAAACCACGATGAGATACCACTTCACACCCATTAGGATGACTATTATTTTTAAAAAACACACAGAACAAAATAACAAGTGTTGGTAAGGATATGAAGAAATTGGAGCCCTCATGCATTGCCAGTGGGAATGTTAAATGGTGCAGCTGCTGTGGAAAGCAGTATGGCAGTCCTTCAAAAAATTAAACATAAAATCACTGTATGATCCAGCAATTCCACTTCTAGGTACACACCCAAAAGAACTGGCAGCAGGGACTTGAAGGTATTTGCATGCCAATGCTTATAAGTAGGATTATTTACAATGACAAAAGGTGGAAACAATCCACATGTCCATCAAGGATGAGTGGATAAACAAAATGTGGAACATACATATAATGAAATCTTACTCAATCTTAAAAAGAAAGGAAATTCTGATATATGCTACGACATGGATACACCTTGAAAACATTAAGCTAAATGAAATCAGAAATACAGAAAAGGACAAATACACTATTCTATTGACATGATCTACCTAGAATAGTCAAATTCATGGAAACAGAAAAAAGAATAGGGCTGGGGGGAAGGGAGAATGGAAAGTTCTTGTTTAAAGGATAAAGAGTTTCAGGCTGGAATGATGGAAGAAATTCTGGAGGTACCTGGTGGTGATGGTTGCACAACGCTGAATGCACTTCATGCCACTGAATTGTACAATTTTAAATGGTTACATGGTAAATTTTATAAAATGTATATTTTACCACAAAACAAATTTAAGCTCCTCCTATATATAGATGTATAGATATACACAGAAAAATAAAAATTTTGAAGTAAATAAACAAAGGAAAGAGTATTTCACAATTGGTAATAGGTTGATAGATAAGAGCCTATATAAATTCGTTTAAGAAAACCCACAAAAGCACTGAGTAGAAAAATTAGCAAGATATTGACAGTTCACAAATGAAAGAAAAGGCTAAAAACATGAAATAATCTTTCTCTTCACTGATATCAAATAAATGCACCTTAAAATACTACTCTTCATCAATGAAGCTGGCAGAGTATTTTCCTTTTTTTTTTTTTTTTTGAGACAGAGTCTTGCTCTGTCACCCAGGCTGGAGTGCAGTGGTGCAATCTTGCCTTGTTGCAACCTCCACCTCCAGGGCTCAAGCAATCCTCCCACCTCAGCCTCCCAAGTAGCTGGGACTACAGATATGTACCACCACATGGGGCTAAATTTTATATTTTTGGCAGAGACCAGCTTTCACCATGGGGCCCAGGCTCATTTTGAACTTCTGGCCTCAAGTAATCCTCCCATCTCAGCCTCCCAAAGGGCTGGGATTACAGGTGTGAGCCACCATGCTGGGCCAGATTTTTCAAAGAATACTCAGAGCTCACAAGGCTGTTTTTAGTGGGAACACAGTTTTGAACAAATCTTTGAGAAAGCAGTAAGTACCCTTTGTATCTTTAATTCCACTTTTAGGAATCTCTCATAGCCAAAATACTACCCCCTGCAAAATAATACAACATAATGTTTATTATAGAACCATTTATTACTGAGAAAAAATTCAGAGGAACACAGTCATTGAGAAATAAAGAAATGGCTAAGGAATTTATCTGACTTAATACTGTAAAAAAAATATTTTTAAAGGATTTTAATGACATGAGAAATGTTTCAGTTTACAACATGGGGCTAAGTAAAAAAGAACACATAGCTGCATGTAGACTGGTCCCAATTCTATTCCAAAAGCTTGACTTGATTTCTGTCTGGGTGGTAGGTGATGTTTTATTTTCTTCTTTATGCTTTTTTTGTATTTTCCAAGTTTTCTACAAAGAACATCAATTTCTTTAATCATTTTATAAATGATGTTTATACCTCTCAATCTAGTAATTCTACTCATAGAAAATCATTCGAAAGGAATAATAATTTTTAGAGAGATGAGGTTTCACCATGTTGCCCAGGCTGGTCTGGAATACCTGGGATTAAGTCATCCACCGCCTTCAGCCTTTCAAAGTGCTGGGATTATTAGCGTGAGCCACCAAGCTCAGCTTCTTCTTCTTTTTTTTTTTTTTTTTTTTTTTTTTTGAGAGATGGAGTCTCTGTAGCCCAGGCTGGAGGACAATGGTATGATCATAGCTCACTGCAGCACAACCTCCTGGGCTCAAGCTATCCTCCTGCCTCAGCCACCCATTTAGCTGGGACCACAGGTACATGCTACCATGCCTGGCTGATTTTTTTCATTTTTTGTAGAGACAAGATTTTACTGTGTTGCCATGCTGTCTCAAACTCCTGGGCTCACTCGATTTGCCTGCCTTGGCCTCCCAAAGTGCTGGGATTATAGACATGACCTACTGTGCCTGGCCTTGAAATAATTCTAAATACAGAAAAAGCTTTGTTCATAGATTATTGAAAAATAATCTGGTGTTAATTATAGTGACAAAATATTGGAAAATTTGGGGAAGGTAAAGTAAATCTTGGCATATGCACTTGATAAGCTATTACACAGCCATTAAACTCAAGTTTAGGAAGAGTTTATAATAACATGATAAATGCATAGAATTGAATGAAAAAATCAGGACACAAAATTTTATATGTAGTATGATCAAAAGTACATGTACGAGCCTGAGCAACAAATTTTTTTTTTAATTAGCCAGGCATGGTTGCCTGCCCCTATAGTCTCAGCTACTCAGGAGGCTGAGGCAGGAGGATTGCATGAGCCCAGGAGTTCAAAGCTGCAGGTCGTGCCACTGCATTTTAGCCTGGCAAACAGAATAACGGTACTCAAACGCTCCAAAAAACCGTACTCAAAACCATGCCGAAAATAAGAAAAAGACTCAAACAAAATACAGCAAAAGATTAACACAAGGTACCTTTTGGTGGTAAAACTTGGGTTTATTTACCTTCTGTTTATTATATATTTTTTCATGTTCTCTGCAGTGAGCATATATGACTTTTAAGTAGAAAAATGTTTTAAACAAGCAAAAAAAGCTGACTTAGCTGTGAATAGTGAAAATTGTTAGTGGTTGTTACTTTCCTTCTTATTGTCCATTTCCCAAATTTCTTACATGGGATTTATTGATTTTTATCACTTAAAAGTTTATATAAAAGAGCAATGAGCAAGTAAAGATGATTTCCTCTTCCCACACCTATGAGGACTGTTCTTTCACCAGAGCCGCAGCCACTATTTTCTGAGCTGCCTTTTGTGGCAGAGTCTTTGGGGCTACCTGATGCATTTACCAAGGAGAGTTGCTCATTACCTCATCTCTGCAAGCCGGGCTGCCTTCCAATTGTGCCTTCTCTGTAATGTATTTGTAGTGCTCCTGATCTTTCAGAGTCAGGTGATGATTCTGGGATTAGCTTCCACCCACTTGGAGGCAGGTGCCTTGGGTCCAGGCAGTGCACACCTGTGGCATAGGGCAGGGCTGGGCAGTGAAGGTGCACCCAAGTCTCTCATCTACCTATCACATATCACACATGACTCATCCATAGTACAAGCAGTCAAATTGAGGTTCTTGTTACAATGGGTTCTAACACATTTGGCTAGAAAAATTAATTTACGCAATCGTCTAGTGCTGCATTTGTTTCCTGGGGCTGCCATGATACATTACCACAATTTGAGTGGCTGAAAACAACAGAAATCTATTCTTTCACAGTTCTGGAGGCCAGACGTCTGCCATCGAGGTTTCAGCAGGGCCACATTTCCTCTGAAGGCTCTAGGAGAGGCTTCCATGACTCTCCCAGCTTCTTTGTGTGTGCGTGTATGTGAGTCAGAGTCTCTGTCACCCAAGCTAGAGTTCAGTGATGCTATCACGGCTCACTGCAACTTCCAAGGGTTCAAGTGATTCTCCTGCCTCAACCTCCCAATAGCTGGGACTACAAGTCCACACCACCATGCCTGGCTAATTTTTATATTTTTAGTAGAGACAGGGTTTTGCCATGTTGCCCAGGCTGGTCTTGAACTCCTGACCTCAAGTAATCTGCCCACCTCGGCCTCCCAAAGTGCTGGGATTACAGGTGTGAGCCGCCATGCCCGGCCTCTATCCCAGTTTCTGGTGGATGTGGAAAAACTTGGCATTCCTGTGCTGGCAGCTGCATCATTCCCATCTCTGCCTCCAGCATCACGTGGCATTCTCTGTGGGTGTCTCTGTGTCCCTGTAAGGATACAAGTCACTGGATTTGGAGTGTACCCTAATCTGGTATGACCTCATTTTAACTAATTAATTACATCGCAAAAACCCTATTTACAAATAAGGTCACATTCATAGGTACCAAGAATTAGGACTTCAACCTATCCAGGGGGACACAGTTCAACACACAACCACCACCATGCTGATAATAAAGTGGAAACCAACAATGTGGTTTAGACTTAAAGTTGCACTCCAGAAATTCTCATTCCGCCGATCTCTATCACACCACCAGCTGCCCCAGTTTGGAGTAATAATAGTTGTTTTCCGGCTAGGCGCAGTGGCTCATGCCTGTAATCCCAGCACTTTGGGAGGCCGAGGCGGGCGGATCAGGAGGTCAAGAGAGCGAGACCATCCTGGCCAACATGGTGAAATCCTGTCTCTACTAAAAATGCAAAAAAAAAATTAGCTGGGTGTGGTGACATGTACCTTTGTAGTCCCAGCTACTTGGGAGGCTGAGGCAAGAGAATTGCTTGAACCCAGGAGGTGGAGGTTGCAGTGAGCCAAGATGGTGCCACTGCACTCCAGCCTGGCACCTGGTAATGAAGTGAGACTGTCTCAAAAAAAAAAAAAAAATAGCTGTTTTGTATAGAAACAGGCATTAGGCCAGATTTGGCCTGCAGGTCATAATTTGGCAGACCTCTGCCCTAGAGCTTAAGAGTCTGATTTTACTTCCTGATTAAGTGGCTGCTGGAGTTTAGAATAATGTTAAATGTTAACACATCTTCTTTGTACAGTACATAAGAATTTACAAATTACTTTCATATGCATCATCTTTTTCAGTCTTAAGAAAAACCTGTTAAGGAAGTTACATTTTTAATTGTGCCTATGTTATAAATGAGGAAACAGAGGCTTAGGGAGCTTCTGTGATTGGTCTGATGTCATATAGCCAGTTAAGTGCAGAATAGGAATATGGGACTCGAAGGGTTTCTTTTGTGAGCTTTCATTATGTGTCAGCATAACCCAAAAAGTGAGCCACAGCTTCATGCCAACAGCATGGATGCAAAGAAAGTGACACCTCTACACACAAGATAAGCAGTTGTTAATTACCTCCCATAGGCTTTCCTGGCAGCATGGCTGCTGGACAGTTCCCTGTTCAGTTCCAACACATTCTGGAAAATTCTGCAGCGTGAAAAATGTGGGGTAGTGTAGCACTACATGCCACACTTTGTCTGATTGATTCCCTAAAAAGATTCTGGAAATTTACATTACAAACCTGAGTTTAAATCCTGGGTCTGTCAGTTACTGTGTGATGTTGGACAAGTTATTAAATTTCTCTGAGCCTCATTTTTGTCACTGGTACAATGGGGATTTAAAACAGCAACTACTCCAGCCTGGGCAACATAGGCAGACCCCGTCCCTACAAAAAAATTTTTTTAATTAGCTGGATTTGGTAGCACCTGCCTGAAGCCCCAGCTACTTGGGAGGCTGAGGTGGAAGGATGGCTTGAGCCTGGGAGATCAAGGCTGAAATGAGCCATGAGTGTGCCACTGCACTGTACAGACTGTTACTATTTGATATCTTTATTGTGATATGTCAATAAATGTACACATTATGAGTACATTCTGAGATATTACTCTTAACACATTAAATAGAAATTACTTCAGTTACCAAAGCTGGTGTACACGCATGTGTGTACATAGTTTATACATGTGCATGCTGTTCATATTATGGACTCGTGTACAGAAAGTACATATCTACATTATATGTAAGTATGTGTATATAGTGTACATATGTCCACTCGGTGCACACATATCAACACCTGCATATATTGCACATTTGTACCTAATTGGTACATGATGTACCTGTGTACATATCGTAATATCACAATAAATGTAAATGTACATAGTGTGTGCAATATGTACATTTGTATTATGTATTACCTGTGCATTGTGGTTTCATAAGCTGTTGTGATTATATCGTTGTGGTGTTAGAATAAGTGTACATATTGTACACATTTTGAACATATCTATTGTGTACACTTTGTATGCATAATTGTCCATCATTTATAGATTATGTAAATTTATTGTACATATGTGTTGTGTACACATATGCCCATCACAGTCAGTTTACATGTGGTACATATTCAGTTAGTTGCTTGTAATATACCAATAAGGGTACACATTATGAGTATATTCTGAGATATGATTTTTTCATATATTAGATAAAAATAACTTCAATATCAAAGTGGGTATACACATATGTGTGTCCATTTTGTGATATTATCCATCATATCCTAGGTAGGTATTGCTCTCCTTGTGAGAGCAAGTGTACCCTCTGCGATGGTTCCAATATCACAGGCAAAAGAAAATGCTTCTGTGATGTAGTGAATCATGTCTGAAAGACAAAAGATTTCAATACCCTGAATATTAAATGCAGTATACACCACCACTGTAGTATCGTTTCTAATATTCAAAAACTTAAAAGATATTACTCCAAATATCTGAGAGAGCACACAAGCCCCTCGTGATATTGTTCCTAATAACTAGAGGATTATAGAGGACATTACTCACGATGTGACTGGGGTTGTAGGCTGGTCCTGGGATATTGTTCCTAATATTAAGAGGAGGAGAGGAAAATGTTACGGCTTATAGGGAAGTACTCTGTATATGTCAAGAGGTTTGCAGCATGCTCTGATAGGGTCACTAATTTAAACAAGAAAACAATTATATTGAATTAAACATTACAAGGGGTGAAACTCCCCTATGCTTTAAATTCTAATGTCAAGGGATGTGAGGATGGCATTTTTGTCAATATAGCAGAGGTGTAACTATAACTACTGCCTAATATATAGCAAAAGAGAATAACATTATCATTTCTGTATGATATGGTCACCAGTATCATATTAAACCACATTTTCAAAATAGCTTGGCCCCAGCAGCGGTGGGCATAGCCACAATGTGAGGGGGCCCCAAAGCAATGAGGGTGTGCCTTGGGCCTGCTACGGGCTTGTTGGTGGGGACTGTGGGCCCAGTGCTTTATCCAGGGTTTCCCTAAGCAGCCATTCTGGGCTACTGGGCTGCTACGGGCACGCTGGTGGAGTCTGTAAGGACAGCCACATAGCCAGGGTGTTCCTAAGCAGCCATGGTGCACCTGGGATTTACTTCGGGCCCTCTGGTGGGGGCTCTGGGCACAGTCACCTAGTTAGTGTGTCCCTAAGCTGCAGGGTTGGCCTGGGGTCTGCTACATGCTTTCTGACAGTGTATCGAACAAGGCCCTTAAGCCAGGGTGTTCCTACATTGCCAGAGTGGGCTGGCAGGCTGCTACAGGACCTCTGGTGGGGATGTGGGCACAGCTTTCTAGCCAGGGCATCCGTAGGTAGCCAGGGTAGGCCTGGGTGCTCCTACAGGCCCTCTGATGGCGGCTGTGGGCACAGCCTCAGAGCCCGGGTGTCTATAAACAGCCAGAGGGCCTGTGGGGGATGCTACGATGTGGGCTGTGGTAATAGCATGCCTGTGCATAGGTACAGAGTTTTCATCTATATCTTCATGTGTACATAGTTTAAATAGTGAACACATATTTGTACACGTGTACTTATGTTAACATAAATCTGTATGTACATAATATGTGTAAAACACATACGCACATAATGCATACCTAATGTGTACAATATGTACTATTTGGTGATACTACACGACATGTATATATTACTGTGATTATGTATCTTACTGTGATTATATATATTTTATCACTGATATTTCAAGGAATGTTCCTAGTGCACAAATTATGTACCTAATGCATGGTGTACAAATTGTAGAAATCTGCAGGTACATATTTGACAGAATATGTACATTTTGGTACATGTGCGTTGTGTACACATGTACAACAGAGTAAATGTACAGACTGTACCTATTGGATACATTTAGTCTGATATGTCAATAAATGTACATATTATGAGTACATTCTGGGATATTACTTATAGCACATTAAATAGAAATCACTTCAGTTACCAAAGCTGGTGTACACGCATGTGTTTAGTTTATACATGTGCATGTTGTTCATATTATGGACTCCTGTACAGAAAGTACATATCTACATTATATGTACATATGTGTATTTACTGTACATATGTCCATACTGTGCACACATATCTACACCTGCATATATTGCACATTTGTACCTAATTGGTCCATGATGTACCTGTGTACATATCGTAATATCACAATAAATGTAAATGTACATAGTGTGTGCAATATGTACATTTGTATTATGCATTACCTGTGCATTGTGGTTTTATAAACTGTTGTGATTATATGATATCATTGTGGTGTTAAAATAAGCGTACATATTATACACATTTTGAACATATCGATTGTGTACACTTTGTATGCATATAATTGTCTATACTTTATAGATTATGTAAAATTCTTGTACATCTGTGTTGTGTACACATATGCCAATAACTGTAAGTTTACATGTGGTACATATTCAGTTAGTTGCTTGTAATATACCAATAAGTGTACACATCATGGGTATATTCTGAGATATGATTTTTAGTATATCAAATAAAAATGACTTCCAATATCAAAGTGGGTATACAGATATGTGTGTCCATTTCCTGATATTATCCATCATATCCTAAGTAGGTATTACTCTCCATGTGAGAGCAAGTGTACCCTCTGCGATGGTTCCAATATCACAGGCAAAGTAAATCGCCTCTGTGATGTAGTGAGTCATGTCCGAAAGACAAAGGATTACCATACCCTGAATATCGAATGCAGTATACACCACCACTGTAGTATCATTTCTAATATTCAAAAACTTAATAAGATATTACTCCAGATATCTGAGAGAGCGCACAAGCCCCCCGTGATATTGTTCCCAATAACTAGAGGATTATAGAGAACATTACTCACAATGTGACTGGGGTTGTAGGCTGGTCCTGGGATATTGTTCCTAACATCCAGAGGAGGAGAGGAAAATGTTGCGACTTATAGGGAAGTACTCTGAATATGGCAAGAGGTGTACAGCATGCTCTGATAGGGTCACTAATGTAAACAAGAAAACAATTATATTGAATTAAACATTGCAAGGGGAGGATCTCCCAAATGCTTTAAATTCTAATGTCAAGGGATGTGAGGATGGCATTTTTGTCAATATAGCAGAGGTGTAACTATAACTACTGCCTAATATATAGCAAAAGAGAATAACATTATCATTTCTGTATGATATGGTCTCCAGTATCATATTAAACCACATTTTCTAAATAGCTTGGTGCCAGCAGCGGTGGGCATAGCCACCAACCAAGGGAGTCCCAAAGCAACATGGGTTTGCCTTGGGCCTGCTACGGGCTCGTTGGTGGGGACTGTGGGCACAGTGCTCTATCCAGGGTTTCCCTAAGCAGCCATTCTGGGCTACTGGGCTGCTATGGGCACGATGGCAGAGCCTATAAGGACAGCCACATAGCCAGGGTGTTCGTAAGCAGCCATGGTGCACCTGGGATTTACTTCGGGCCCTCTGTTAAGGTCTATGGGCACAGTCACTTAGTTAGTGCATCCCTAAGCTTCACGGTTGGCCTGGGGTCTGATACATGTTCTCTGGCAGTGTATCGAACAACGCGCTTAAGCCTGGGTGTCCCTACGTTGCCAGAGTGTGCTGGCGGCTGCTACAGGACCTCTGTTGGGGATGTGGGCATAGCTTTCTAGCCAGGGCATTCTTAAGTAGCCAAGGTGGGCCTGGGTGCTTTTACGGGCACTCCGGTGGCGGCTGTGGGCACAGCCTCAGAGCCCGGGTGTCTACAAGCAGGCAGGGGGTGTGTGGGGGATGCTAGGGTGTGGGCTGTGGTAATAGCATGCCTGTACATAGGTACAGAGTTTGCATCTATATCTTCATGTGTACATAGTTTAAATAGTGAGCATATATTTGTACACGTGTACTTATGTTAACATGATAAATCTGTATGTACATAATATGTGTAAAACACATACGTACTTAACGCATATTTAATGTGTGCAATATGTACTAATTGGTGATACTACACGACATATATATTACTGTGATTATATATATTTATTACTGATATTTCAAGGAATGTTCATAGTGCACAAATTATGTACCTAATGCATGGTGTACACATTGTAGAAATATGCAGGTAGATATTTGACAGAATATGTACATTTTGGTACATGTGCGTTGTGTACACGTATGTACAGCAGAGCAAATGTACAGACTGTACCTATTTGATATCTTTATTGTGATATGTCAATAAATGTACACATTATGAGTACATTCTGAGATATTACTCTTAGCACATTAAATAGAAATTACTTCCGTTACCAAAGCTGGTGTACATGCATGTGTGTACATAGTTTATACATGTGCATGCTGTTCATATTATGGACTCGTGTACAGAAAGTACATATCTACATTATATGTACGTATGTGTATATAGTGTACATATGTCCATTCGGTGCACACATATCAACACCTGCATATATTGCACATTCGTACCTAATTGGTACATGATGTACCTGTGTACATATCGTAATATCACAATAAATGTAAATGTATATAGTGTGTGCAATATGTACATTTGTATTATGTATTACCTGTGCATTGTGGTTTCATAAGCTGTTGTGGTTATATGATATCGTTGTGGTGTTAGAATAAGTGTACATATTGTACACATTTTGAACATATCTATTGTGTACACTTTGTATGCATATAATTGTCCCTCATTGATAGATTATGTAAATTTATTGTACATCTTTGTTGTGTACACATATGCCCATCACAGTCAGTTTACATGTGGTACATATTCAGTTAGTTGCTTGTAATATACCAGTAAGTGTACACATCATGAGTATATTCTAAGATATGATTTCTAGTATGTTAGATAAAAATTACTTCCAATATCAAAGTGGGTATACACATATGTGTGTCCATTTCGTGATATTATCCATCATATCCTAAATAGGTATTACTCTTTTTGTGAGAGCAAGTTTACCCTCCGCTATGGTACCAATATCACAGGCAAAGTAAAACGCTTCTGTGATGTAGTGAAACATGTCCGAAAGACAAAGGATTACCATACCCTGAATATCGAATGCAGTATACACCACCACTGTAGTATCGTTGCTAATATTCAAAAACTTAAAAGATATTACTCCAGATATCTGAGAGAGCGCACAAGCCCCCCGTGATATTGTTCCTAATAACTAGAGGATTATAAAGGACATTACTCACGATGTGAGTGGGGTTGTAGGCCGGTCCTGGGATATTGTTCCTAACAGCCAGAGGAGGAGAGACAGTGGTTGCAGCTTATAGGGAAGTACCCTGAATATGGCAAGAGGTGTACAGCATGCTCTGATAGGGTCACTAATGTAAACAAGAACACAATTATATTGAATTAAACATCGCAAGGGGTGAAACTCCCCTATGCTTTAAATTCTAATGTCAAGGGATGTGAGGATGGCATTTTTGTCAATATAGCAGAGGTGTAACTATAACTACTGCCTAATATATAGCAAAAGAGAGTAACATTATCATTTCTGTATGATATGGTCGCCAGTATCATATTAAACCACATTTTTTAAATAGCTTGGCCCCAGCAGCAGTGGGCATAGCCACCAAGCAAGGGGGTCTCAAAGCAACGAGGGTGTGCCTTGGGCCTTCTATGGGCTCGTTGGGGGGGACTGTGGGTACAGTGCTCTATTCAGGGTTTTCCTAAGAAGCCATTCTAAGCTACTAGGCTGCAACGGGCACGCTGGTGGAGTCTGTAAGGACAGCCACATAGCCAGGGTGTTCCTAAGCAGCCATGGTGCACCTGGGATTTACTTCGGGCCCTCTGGTTGGGGCTCTGGGCACAGTCACCTAGTTAGTGTCTCCCTAAGCTGCAGGGTTGGCCTGGGGTCTGCTACATGCTTTCCTGCAGTGTATCGGACAACGCCCTTAAGCCAGGGTGTCCCTACGTTGCCAGAGTGGGCTGGCGGGCTGCTACAGGGCCTGATGTGGAGATGTGGGCACAGCTTTCTAGCCAGGGCATCCGTAGGTAGCCAGGGCGGGCCTGGGTGCTCTTAGAGGCCCTCTGGTGGCGGCTGTGGGCACAGCCTCAAAGCCCGGGTGTCTATAAACAGCCAGAGGGCGTGTGGGGGATGCTACGATGTGGGCTGTGGTAATAGCATGCCTGTGCATAGGTACAGAGTTTTCATCTATATCTTCATGTGTACATAGTTTAAATAGTGAGCACATATTTGTACACGTGTACTTATGTTAACATGATAAATCTGTATGTACATATGTGCAAAACACATATGTACCTAATGCATACCTAATGTGTGCAATATGTATTATTTGGTGATACTACACGACATGTATATATTACTGTGATTATGTATCTTATTGTGATTATATATATTTTATTACTGATATTTCAAGGAATGTTCCTAGTGCACAAATTATATACCTAATGCATGGTGTACACCTTGTAGAAATCTGCAGGTACGTATTCGACAGAATATGTACATTTTGGTACATGTGCGTTGTGTACACATATGTACAGAAGAGTAAATGTACACACTGTACCTATTTGATACATTTATTGTGATATGTCAATAAATGTACACATTATGAGTACATTCTGGGATATTACTTATAGCACATTAAATAGAAATTACTTCAGTTACCAAAGCTGGTGTACATGCATGTGTGTACATAGTTTATACATGTGCATGCTGTTCATATTATGGACTCGTTTACAGAAGTTACATATATACATTTTATGTACGTATGTGTATATAGTGTACATATGTCCATTCTGTGCACACATATCTACACCTGCATATATTGCACATTTGTACCTAATTGGTACATGATGTACCTGTGTACATATCGTAATATCACAATAAGTGTAAATGTACATAGTGTGTGCAATATGTTCATTTATATTATGTATTACCTGTGCATTGTTGTTTTATAAGCTGTTGTGATTATATGATATCGTTGTGGTGTTAGAATAAGTGTACATATTGTACACATTTTGAACATATCTATTGTGTACACTTTGTATGCATATAATTGTCTATATTGTATAGATTATGTAAGTTTATTGTATATCTGTGTTGTGTAGAAATATGCCATCAGTCATTTACATGTGGTACATATTCAGTTAGTTGCTTGTAATAAACCAATAAGTGTACACATCATGAGTATATTCTGAGATATGATTTTTAGTATATTAGGTAAATATTACTTCCAATATCAAAGTGGGTATACATATATGTGTGTCCATTTCGTGATATTATCCATCATATCCAAAGAAGGTATTACTCTCCTTGTGAAGGCAAGTGTACCCTCTGTGATGGCTCCGATATCACAGGCAAAGGAAAACGCTTCTGTGATGTAGTGAATCATGTCCGAAAGAGACAAAGAATTACCATTTCCTGAATATAGAATGCAGTATACATCACCACTGTAGTATCGTTTCTAATATTCAAAAACTTAAAAGATATTACTCCAAATATCTGAGAGAGCGCACAAGCCCCCCGTGATATTGTTCCTAATAACTAGTGGATTATAGAGGACATTACTCACAATGTGACTGGGGTTGTAGGCTGGTCCTGGGATATTGTTCCTAACATCCAGAGGAGGAGAGGAAAATGTTGTGGCTTATAGGGAAATACTCTGAATATGGCAAGAGGTGTACAGCATGCTCTGATAGGCTCACTAATGTAAACAAGAAAACAATTATATTGAATTAAACATGGTAAGGGGTGAAACTCCACTATGCTTTAAATTCTAATGTCAAGGGATGTGAGGATGGCATTTTTGTCTATATAGCAGAGGTGTAACTATAACTACTGCCTAATATATAGCAAAAGAGAATAACATTAACATTTCTGTATGATATGGTCGCCAGTATCATACTAAAGCACATTTTCAAAATAGCTTGGCCCCAGCAGCAGTGGGCATAGCCACCAAGCGAGGGGGTACCAAAGCAACGACGGTGTACCTTAGGCCTGCTACGGGCTCGTTGGTGGGTACCGGTGGAACAGTGCTCTATCCAGAGTGTCCCTTAGCAGCCATTCTGTGCCACTGGGAATCTACGGGCACGCTGGCAGAGCCTGTAAAAACAGCCACATAGCCAGGTTGTTCCTAAGCAGCCATGGTGCACCTGCGATTTACATCGGGCCCTCTGGTGGGGGCTCTGGGCACAGTCACCTGGTTACTGTGTTTCTAAGCTGCAGGGTTTGCCTGGGGTCTGCTACATGCTCTCTGGCAGTGTATCGGACAACGCCCTTAAGCCAGAGTGTCCCAACGTTGCCAGAGTGGGCTAGCGGGCTGCTACAGGACCACTGGTGGGGAAGTGGGCACAGCATTTTAGCCAGGGCATCCGTAGGTAACCAGGGTGGGCCTGGGTGCTCTTACAGGCCCTCTGGTGGCGGCTGTGGGCACAGCCCTGGGTCCATAAGAAGCCAGAGGGCCTGTGAGGGATGCTACGATGTGGGCTGTGGTAATAGCATGCCTGTGCATAGGTACAGAGTTTACGTCTATATCTTCATGTGTACATAGTTTAAATAGTGAGCACATATTTGTACACGTGTACTTATGTTAACATGATAAATCTGTATGTACATAACATGTGCAAAACACATACGTACCTAACACATACCTAATGTGTGCAATATGTACTATTTGGTGATACTACACGACATGTATATATTACTGTGATTATATATCTTATAGTAATTATATATATTTTATCACTGATATTTCAAGGAATGTTCATAGTGTACAACTTATGTACCTAATGCATGGTGTACACATTGTAGAAATATGCAGGTACATATTTGACCAAATATGTACATTCTAATACATGTGCATTGTGTAAACATATGTACAGCAGAGTAAATGTACAGAATGTACCTATTTGATACATTTATTGTGATATGTCAATAAATGTACACATTATGAGTACATTCTGGGGTATTACTGTTAGCACATTAAATAGAAATCACTTCAGTTAAAGCTGGTGCACACGCATGTGTGTATATAGTTTATGCATGTGTATTCTGTTCATATTATGGACTCGTGTAGAGAAGGTACATATCTACATTATATGTACGTATGTGTATATAGTGTACATATGTCCATTCTGTGCACACATATCTACACCTGCATATATTGCACATTTGTACCTAATTGATACATAATATACCTGTGTACATATAGTAATATCCCAATAAATGTAAATGTACATAGTGTGTGCAATATGTACATTTGTATTATGTATTACCTGTGCATTGTGGTTTTATAAGCTGTTGTGATTATATGATATCGTTGTGGTGTTAGAATAAGTGTACATATTGTACACATTTTAAACATATCTATTGTGTACACTTTGTATGCATATAATTGTCCATCATTTATAGATTATGTAAATTTATTGTACATCTGTGTTGTGTACACATATGCCCATCACAGTCAGTTTACATGTGGTACATATTCAGTTAGTTGCTTGTAATATACCAATAAGTGTACACATCATGAGTATATTCTGAGATATGATTTTTAGTATATTAGATAAAAATTACTTCCAATATAAAAGTCGGTATACACATATGTGTGTCCATTTCGTGATATTATCCATCATATCCTAAGTAGGTATTACTCTCCTGGTAAGAGCATGTGTACCCTCTGCGATGGTTCCAATATCACAGGCAAAGTAAAACGCTTCTGTGACGTAGTGAATCATGTCCGAAAGACAAAGGATTACCATACCCTGAATATCGAATGCAGTATACACCACCACTGTAGTATTATTTCTAATATTCAAAAACTTAAAAGATATTACTCCAAATATCTGAGAGACCACACAAGCCTTTCGTGATATTGTTCCTAATAACTAGAGGATTATAGAGGACATTACTCACGATGTGACTGGGGTTGTAGGCCGGTTTTTGGATATTGTTTCTAACATCCAGAGGAGGAGAGAAAAATGTTGTGGCTTATATGAAAGTACTCTGTATATGGCAAAAGGTGTACAACATGCTCTGATAGGGTCACTAATGTAAACAAGAAAACAATTATATTGAATTAAATATTGCAAGTGGTGAAACTCCCCTATGCTTTAAATTCTAATGTCAAGGGATGTGAGGATGGCATTTTTGTCAATATAGCAGAGGTGTAACTATAACTACTGCCTAATATATAGCAAAAGAGAATAACATCATTTCTGTATGATATGGTCATTAGTATCATATTAAACCACATTTTCAAAATAGCTTGGCCCCAGCAGCGGTGGGTAGAGCCACCAAATGAGGGGGTCCCAAAGCAACCAGGGTGTGCTTTGGGCCTGCTATGGGCTCGTTGTTGAGGACTGTGGGCACAGTGCTGTATCCAGGGTGTTTCTACGCAGACATTCTGGGCCACTGGGCGGCTACAGGCACGCTGGTGGAGCCTGTAAGGACAGCCACATAGCCAGGGTGTTCCTAAGCAACCATGGTGAACCTGGGATTTACTTCGGGCCCTCTGGTTGGGGCTCTGGGCCCAGTCACTTAGTGTGTTCCTTAGCTGCAGGGTTGGCCTGGGGTCTGCTACATGCTCTCTGGCAGTGTATCGGACAATGCCCTTACGCCAGGGTGTCCCTACATTGCCAGAGTGGGCTGGCGGGCTGCTACAGGACCTCTAGTGCGGTTGTGGGCACAGCTTTCTAGCCAGGGCATTCGTAGGTAGCCAGGGTGGGCCTGGGTTCTCTTACAGGCCCTCTGGTGGCGGCTGTGGGTACAGCCTCATAGCCAGGGTGTCTATAAGCAGCCAGAGGGCGTGTGGTTGATGCTACGATGTGGGCTGTGGTAATAGCATGCCTGTGCATAGGTACAGAGTTTGCATCTATATCTTCATGTGTACATAGTTTAAATAGTGAGCACGTATTTGTACACATGTACTTATGTTAACATGATAAATCTGTATGTACATATGTGCAAAACACATACGTACCTAACGCATATCTAATTGTGTAATATGTACTCTTTTGTAATACTACACGACATGTATATATTACTGTGATTATGTATCTTATTGTGATTATATATTTTATCACTGATATTTCAAGGAATGTTCCTAGTGCACAAATTATGTACCTATGCATGGTGCACACATTGTAGAAATATGCAGGTACGTATTTGACAGAATATGTACATTTTGGTCCATGTGCATTGTGTACACATATGTACACTTGTGTAAATGTACAGACCTCACCTATTTGATATATTTATTGTGATATGTCAATAAATGTACACATTATGAGTACATTCTGGGATATAAATTTTTGCATATTGGATAGAAATCACACTGGTGATTAAAGTGGGTCTACACCCAGGTGTGCACATAATTTATACAAGTACATGTTGTGCATATTATGTACTCATGTACAGAATGTACATGTCTACATTTTATATACATATGTGTACATTGCACACATATGTACATACTATGCCCGGATATGTACACGTTCATATATTGTACATCTGTACATAATTGGTACATGATGTACATGTGTACACATATTATAATAAATGTAAATGTACATGTTTGCAATATGTACGTTTATATTATGTATTACATTTATTGTGATTATGCTGTTGTGGTATGATATCATTGTGATATTTCAAATGTACATTTTGTACACATTATGTACCTATGCATTGTGTACACATTATAGAAATATAAAGGAACATATTTTACAGATTATGTACATTTTTTCTACTTGTGTATTGGGTACACACGTACAGCAGAGTAAATGTACAGGTTGTACCTATTTTATGCATTTATTGTGATATGCCAATAAATGTACTCATTATGCATACATTCTGTGATATTACCTCTCGAATATAAGATAGAAATTACTCTGGTTACCAAAGTGGGTGTAAACTTATGTGTGTACATTGTTTGTACATGTACATACTCTGCATATTAAGTACTTGTGTACAGAAGGTAAATCTCTACATTATATGTACGTATGTGTACATAGCGTACATATGTACATACTATGCACATATATCCACACTTGCATTTATTGTACATCCGTACATAATGGGCGCATGCTGTACATGTAAACACATCATCATACCACAGTAAATGTAAATGTACATAATGTGTGAAATACGTGCATTTATATTCTGTATTACATGTGTATTGTGATTGTATATGCTGTTGTGATATCATTGTGATATTCCAAATGTACATATTGTACACAATATGTACATACCTATTGTTTACATATTATGTACATATAAATGTACATATTGTACAGATTATGTTTATTGTACATCTCTATGGTGTACACATATGTACATCACAGTCAACGTACATATGGTACATATTCTTTGCATTGTTTGTAATATTTTAATGAGTACACATTATAAGTATATTCTGGGATATGATTTTTAGTATATTAGATAAAAATTACTTTCAATATCAAAGTGGGTATACACTTATGTGTGTCCATTTCGTGATATTACCCATCATATGCTGAGTAGGTATTACTCTCATTGTAAAAGCAGGTTTACACTCTCGGATTGCTCCAATATCAAGGCAAACTAAAACTGGTCTGTGATGTAGTTAATAATATCCTGAGGACAAAGGATGACCATACCCTGAATATCGCAGCAAATGTACACCACCACTGTAGTATTGTTTCTAATGTTCAAAAATGGAAAGGATATTACTCCAAATATCTCAGAAAGCACACAAGCCCCTTGTGATATTGTTTCTAATAACTAGAGGATTACAGATGACATTACCCACGACATGACTGGGGCTGTACTCCGGTCCTGATATATTGTTTCTAATATCCAGAGAAGGAGAGGAAAATGTTGCTGCCCATAGAGAAATACTCTGAATACGGCAAGAGGTGTACACCATGCTTTGATATGGTCACTTATGTAAACAAGAAAACAATTATATTGAATTAAAATTTGCAAGAAATGAAACTCCCCTATGATTTTAATTCTAATGTCAATGGGGGTGAGGATGACATTTTTGTCAATATGGCAGAGGTGTAACTGGAGCTATTGCCTAATATACAAAAAACCAGAATAAGATTATCATTTTTATATGATATGGTTGCCAGTATCATATTACACCAGATTTGCAAAATAGCTGGGCCTCAGCAGCTGTGGGCAGAGCCCATAAGCGAGGGGACCCCTAAGCAGCCAGGGTGGGCCTGGGGGCTGCTCCAGGCTTTTTGGTGGGGTCTGTGAGCACACCGACTTAGCCAGAGGTCCCTGAGCAGCCATGGTTGGCCTGGGGGTTGCTACAGGCACTCTGGCATGGGCTGTGGGCACAGACACCTAGTCAGGAAGTCCCTAAGCAGCCAGGGTGGGCATGGGGGCTGCTACGGGCATTCAAGCAGTGTTTGTGGGCACAGCCCAATTGCCAGGGGGTCTTGAAGCAGCCAGGCTGCGCCTGGGGGCTGCTACAAGGGGGGCTTTGCTAATAGCGTGCTGTGCATAGGTACATAGTTTGCACCTATTTCTACATGTGTAAATAGTTTAAATATCGGGCATATATATGTACATGTGTACATATGGTGTTATCATGATAAATTTATATGTACATAATATGTGCAAAATACATATGTACCTAATGCATACCTAATGTGTACAATATGTACTTTTTTGTAATATTAGACAATATATGTATATTACTGTGATTATATATCTTATTGTGATTAAATATATTTTATCACTAATATTTTAAGGAATGTGCATAGTGTACCCATTATATACCTATGTATTGTGTACACATTATAGAAATATATAGGTACATATTTTACAGATTATGTACATTTTTTCTACATGTGTATTGTGTACACCTATGCACAGCAGAGTAAATGTACAGACTGTACCTATTTTATACATTTCTTCTGATATGCCAATAAATGTACACATTATGAGTACATTCTAAAATGTAATTTTTACCATATTAGATAGAAATTACTCCGTTGACCAAAGTGGGTGTACACTCAGATGTCTACGTAGTTTATACGTGTACATACTGTGCATATTATGTACTCATGTACAGAATGTACATGTCAACATTATATGTATTTATGTGTACATAGTGTACAAATGTACATATTGTGCACATATGTACATATGCATATTTTGTACATATGTACATGTGTACACACCGTGATACCACAATAAATGTAAATGTACATGATGTGTGCAATATGTACATTTATATTATGTATTACTTGTGTATTTTGATTTTATATGCTGTTGTGATTATATATCATTGTAATATTACAATAAATGTACATATTGCACACATTATGTACATACCTATTGTGTACACATTATGTACATGTAATTGCACATATTGTACAGATTATGTACATTTTTGGTACATCTGTATTGTGTACACATATGTATATAACACTGTGTACATATGGTACATATTCTGCACATTGATTGTAATATCTCAATAAGTGTACACATTATGAGTATATTGTGATATATGATTTTTAGTATATTAGATAAAAATTACTCCCTATATCAAAGTGCGTATACACCCATGTGTGTCCATTTTTTGATATTATCCATCATATTTTAAGTAGGTATTACTCTCATTTTGAAAGAAAGTGTTCACTCTGTGATTGTTCCAATATCACAGGCAAAGTACAAGGCTTCTTTAATGTACTACCTAATATCCTGGGGACAAAAGATGATTATACCCTGAATATCACAGGAAGTGTACACCACCACTGTAGTATTGTGTCTAATATCCAAAAACGGAAAAGATATTACTCCAAGTATCTGATAAAGCGCCCAAGACCCCCGTGATAATTTTTCTAATAACTAGGGGATTACAGATAACATTACTCATGATATGACTGGGGCTATCCGCCGGTCCTGTGATATTGTTCCTAATATCCAGAGAATGAGAGGATAATGTTGCTGCCCATAGGCAAATACTCTGAATACGGCAAGAGGAGTACACTGTGCTCAGATATGGTCACTAATGTAAACAAGAAAACAATTATACTGAATTAAACATTGCAAGGGGTGAAACCCCCTTATGATTTCAATTCTAATGTCAAGGGGTGTGAGGATGACATTTTTTGTCAATATGGCAGAGGTGTAACTAGAACTATTGCCTAGTATCCAAAAAAACAGAATAACATCATTTCCATATGATATGGTCGCCAGTATCATATTACACCACATTTTCAAAATAGCTGGGCACAGCGCCCTAGCCAGGGGGTCCCTAAGCAGCCAGCGTCAGCCTGGGAGCTGTTAGGGTCCCTCTGGCGGGGAATGTGGTTACAGCCCCCTAGCCAGGGGGTCTTTAAGCAGCCAGGGTGGGCCTTGGGGCTGCTACGAGGGGGGCTGTGGTAATAGCCTGTTCTGCACAGGTACATAGTTTTAATAATGAACACATATTTGTATAAGTGTACACATGGTGTTATCATGATAAATATATATGTATATAATATGTGCACAATACATATGGACCTAATGCGTACCTAATGTGTACAATATGTACTTTTTGTGATATTACATGATATATATATATTACTGTGATTATATGCGTTATTTTGATTATATACATTTTATCACTGATATTTTAAGGAATGTGCATAGTGTACACATTATGTCTCTATACATTGTTTACACATTATAGAAATATGTGGGTACATATTTTACAGAGTATGTACACTTTTTGTACATGTGCATTGTGTACACATATGTACAGCAGTGTAAATGTACAGATTGTACCTATTTTATACATTTATTGCAATATGCCAATAAATGTACACACTATTACTACATTCTGAATTATTATATTTTGTATATTAGAAATTTCTCCGGTTACCAAAGTGGTTGTACACCCAGGTGTGTACATAGTTTATAAGTGTACATATTGTGCATATTATGTACTTGG